CAGAGAAGTATACAATTAAAAAACACTTCCTACTTCGAAACGAAAGCCAGAGAGAAAAGAACACAGAGCAGCTGGGACAAACAAAGAACACGCAGTAATACGGTACCTGTAAACCAACGTATCAGTCAGTCTATTTAAACAGAGCAAATACGCCAACCACAAGATAAAGACTGTCAAATTCATTAAAATAAAGCCAAGCGTGTCCTTTTCACACAGGTACACTGTAAAACGTGAGCTCGCAGAGAGGTGACAGCAAATGACCCGCAGGTGAGCCGAAACCACAGAGAACTGACAGGGCAGATACGACTCCCAAGTAAAGTGACCTCCAGAGCCAAAGCCATCACTGGAGACGAGCAGGAACGTTTCATGATTACAGTTCCATCGACCAAGAAAACAAGAGTTCAAATTTGAACAGACCTAATAACACAATCTCAAGATACATAAAAATTGATGAAAACAGAAAAGGAGAACGAGCCAAACCCACGAGCATGGAGGGCGACCTCGGATGTGCCCTCAGTCACTGACAGAAGCCACGACAGCGGCAATGAAGCTGTGGATGCAGGGCTGGGCTGTCCGGTCTGTTGTCACACGGGGCTACTCCACGGAGACGTGCTCTCAAATGTAAAACACACACCAGCTTTTAAAGGCTTCATATGATAAAACAATGTAAAATATTCCATTAGGTTTTCTTCCTGTTGATTATCCATTGAAATGATATTCTGGATAGGGGTGTTAGATAAACCATATTCTTAAAATGAGTTTCACCTCTTTCTTATCTTATTGAACGTGGCTACTAGAATCTGAATTACGTAACAAACGTCTTCTCAGCAGTAAACACAGAACACTGCATTCCCACCGACACGCATAATTTTCAAGCGCCCAAGGAACACTCGATGAAAACGAGCGCGCGCTGAGCCGTCAGAAAAGCTTGACTCGTTTCAAAGGACTGAAACAACGCAGGGCGTATTTAGGGGCTGCAAAAGATGAACAAAAAAAATTTTTCTTAAAAAAATAATTTAAGAAAAAGAGACAAAGCACAAATTACCAGTATTGAGAATTTTTTTTTCTTTTTTCTTTTTTTTTCCTTTTGAAGCAGACTCCTGCTGAGCAGGGAGCCTGATGCGGGGCTTGATCCCAGGACACTGGGATCATGACCTGAGCCGAAGGCAGACGCTTAACAACTGAGCCACCCAGGCGCCCCAGTATTAAGAATTTTTAAAAGGAAATAATCACAACAGATTCTGCAGATGATAAGGGTGTTATGAAGCATTTTACATCATTACTTGGAAAGTTTGGGTGACCTGAGCAAATTCTTTTTTTTTTTTTTTTTTTAATTTTATTTATTTGACAGGCAGAGATCATAAGTAGGCAGAGAGGCAGACAGAGAGAGAGGGGGAAGCAGGCTCCCTGCTGAGCAGAGAGCCTGATGCGGGGCTCGAAACCAGGACCCTGAGATCATGACCTGAGCCGAAGGCAGAGGCTTAACCCAGTGAGCCACCCAGGCGTCCTGACCTGAGCGTTCTTAGGGAAAAAAAGGCCTTCTCTAAATAGACACAAGAAGGAATATAAAGTCAGAAAAATCCTATTTCCGCATAAAAAAATGAATCTGAGATTGAAAACCTTCTCACAAGGAAAGCCCTATACCAGCTGGTTTTGCCAAACAATTCTTCCAAATACTGAAGGAAGAAAACATCAGGCCCACACAAACCCTTCTGGGAACACACAAGGAACACTTCCTGCCTTGTTTTATGAGACCAGCAGGAACCTCAACACCGAAACCTAACAAGGACAGTACAAGAAAGTACAACTACAGACCAACCTCCCTCATGAATAAATCCTAAGCAAAATATTAACAAATAAAATCCAGCAAGAGAGAATACACAGAGATCAAGTCGGGATTATCGTTGTGTGGCAAAAAAAAAAATTAAATTAAGTCACCACACTAACAACAACAACAAAAAAAATCACTTATCCCAAAGATGCAGAAAACACATTTAAGAAAACTTAATGTAATTTAATTCATGATTTAAAAGAAAACCTTAGCAAACTAAAAATAGAGGAGAACTTTCATATTTTGATAACAAACATCCCAGTAAAGCCACAGCCGGTATCACATGCGATGGTCAACTCCTGAAAGCTCTCTCTGGTACTGGGAGTGACACAAGGACACCTATTCTCATCGCTTCTATCGAACACTGCACTGCAGACCCGAGCCAGTGCAAGAAGCCAGAAAAAGAGAAACGGTTGTTGCACTGGAAAGGGAAAAAAACTTATCAAAGGACACCTCTGAGGGAATGAAAGGCAAACCCACAAGACTATTAAAAAAATCTGCCATTCATGGGGCGCCTGGGTGGCTCAGTGGGTTAAAGCCGCTGCCTTCGGCTCGGGTCATGATCCCAGGGTCCTGGGATCGAGCCCCGCATCGGGCTCTCTGCTCCGCGGAGGGCCTGCTTCCTCCTCTCTCTCTGCCTGCCTCCCTGCCTACTTGTGATCTCTCTGTCAAATGAATAAATAAAATCTTTAAAAAAAAAAAAATCTGCCATTCATATATATATTCAAAATAATACAAAGAACTCCTTCAAATCAGCAAAGAACAAAGCAGACAACCCCATCGACAAATGGGCAAGAGGGAATCATTTCACAGAAGATACCCAAGGGGCCAACACACGCACACAGAGACCTGCCCTGCTTAGTCCCCCCACGTCGGGCAGCAGCCGGCGCACAGCCCACAGCGCCCTCAGCCTCCCGCCCCTTCACGCCCACCCAGACAGCTAAAATGCAGGAACCGACAGCACCAAGGGCCGGTGGGCCGCTGAGCGCGCACACACCGTGCGTGGAGGGACGACCACGCGGTCGCGCAGGAGAAACGCACACGCACCGGCACCAAGAAGCAAGAGAGACCGCGGGGCCGCACCTGGGGCTGCCCACGCCCAGCAGGAAGAGTAACTGTGGCTCGTTCACGCCAGGGGCTAGACCGCCCCGAGAATGAGCAGAGCTCCGAGGGGCCAGACAGACACGTCGCACAAGCATAAGGCTCAATGACGGTCTCATTTACACGAGATCAGAGCGCAGCAACGCCGTCGATGGTGAGAGTCAAGACCACGGGTAAGCTCTGGGGCACAAGTGCTGCGAGGGGTCGGAGGGGTTTGCAGGAAACTTGGAAACGTCTATCTCTTCGTGCAGGTGCTGCCTGCCTCAAGGCCTGAGCCCCTGAGAGCAGCATTCAGTAAAGCGTCTGGGGGACTGTGCTTGCTGCCGCGTTTGACGCGAGTTTGGCGGCGGAGTGCGGCGGGCAGGTATGTGAGTAAAGGCACCTGCACTGCCGGCACAGTCTGTGAGCAAGTAATTACACACGTTACCAGGTTTCAACTATAACATACTCAGAGAAATTCACAGTGGGGAGTGTTGGTTTCAGAAAACTTGTTTTCACTTAGCAAACACGTGCTTGTGACCAGCACCTGGTTCCCTGGCGTGAACGTACCACAGTTTATTCTTCCTGCTGGGCATGGGCAGCCCCAGGTGCTCTCAGGTGCTCAGGCCTTGAGGCAGGCAGGGGGGAGGGGAGGCAGGGAGGAGGGGAGGCCAGGGAGGTAGGGAGGTGGGCAGGTGGGCAGCCGGGGAGGTGCTTAGCGGGTGTGGCCAGTGTTGCACTCTCCACTCAACGGAGAGCTTCTAGGCTACAGCACACTGAGCAGTAGCTAAAAACAAATCACGGAGCAATCGTGGCACCTGGCGACAACCCCGCCACTGCACGGAACTCCTGTCCCTTCTGTCAGGTCGTGTGTGCTCCTTCTTTCAAAAATCGACCTGATCAAAGTATTTGATATGCACTTCAGTGCACGGCCTCCAATTACACTAAGACACGTAACAACCACAAAACAAAACAAGAAAGCAAAATCTACTGAAAAATGGACAAGGACACTAAAATGCGGTGGCGCATCACTGGGCCCATGCTTTCCAGCTCGCAGTAATAAAACCCGACCCGCGCAAACTACAGAACTGGTGAGGCTTGCCGGAGAAGAACCGCGCTGGCCCTCCGAGCCCACGGAGAGGGCGCACTACAGCACCACCGCGAGCTTATTACTGCTAAAAGGGAAATGCAAACGTTTGGCTTCTCCATCTTTCCGGAGAACCGAGTGCAGGCAAGAAACGCATGTGGGCGCGCAATTACTCATTCGCTAATGGAGCACGGGAGCCCGATGGCGGGAGCACAAACGTGTGCTTAGGCAGGCCCACCTGAAAGGACCACAAAGGCGCCTACTACGGCTGAGTCAAGGGGCACCCAGGCAGCTGCGAGCACCCAAGCACCAGGTGCCACCCGCCTTACACTTTCGTGGGTGACGTTCTCCCCTCACCTATCATTACGTCCTGGCTCGGCTCCCCAAGGAGAAGCGGCTTTGAAACAGCAGTGAAACGTCACAGGCTCAGACGAACGATCTGGTGTCACTTCAAGCTGACGGTTCTCATCAGCGAAGAGACAGTTCCGAAGGAATTAATCTCCGTCTCATGTCCCCCCAGACAAACTGCACTCACAAAGCACAGGCGTTCTTCTAAAGGTGGGCTGTGAAAACATCCTTCCCGTGAGATCAATCCTATCTGCCCATTAGATTTCTTTAGAAAATGGGAGCTATGTGATAAAATCCACGAGAAGCACACGTTCAGCAGGAAAGGCCCGAGACAACAGAACGGAAGGCACCACAAGCTTGGGACGCCTCGTGGCCCCCGTCCAAAATCTTCAGAGCACTGTCCCAGATCCAGACAGCTCCTTCTGCTGCCCGAGGAAGGGAACAAGAGTTACGAGGTGTTTACAGCGAAGCACACCATGGAGTTCATCCTTGCTCGGTACGTTTAACCGCCAGAAACTCTCTGCACATGACTTACAAAAACCAGAACCGTTTCACAAACTCGCCTAAAACGTGAACACCGTGAGAGATACCGTAAAAACACACCGAGAGACGAAAAGCAGAGTCTGTAGAGTTCCAGGTGCAAAGCATCCATACCTGTGGGAGCGCCGTGCTGAGCTGCCTCTGCAAGGAGTCTCGCTCGTGACCAACCTCGTGTAACTTCCCCTGGGTCAAGGCCAGCGTTTCCTGAGTCTCTCTCAGCGTGTCCAGAAGACGGTCCCGCTCTTCCAGCATGGACACCATCAGCTGTTCGAAGTGTGAATCTGCGTCTGGCTGCGATGGAGAGCCGGACCCATGACTCCCACTTCCTCCCGGGGGGCCTTCGGCTTCACTGATGGTCGGCATCACCTCGCACATCATCTTGAAATAGAAGACCCAGACTCGAGTCATTAAGGGCAAACAGGGGCTCCCGCAAACCTGCAACGTTATTGCTGTGTGTGACTAACACACCAAACCTCATTATTCCCAGCTCTGACTTTACTCTGAATATAAGTAAGTGCGGGAAAATACACACAGGAGTGCCAAGTCCGCAACCCACAAGAGGAACACATCAGGCGCGCAATAATCCGGGGGAGGAGTAAAGACCCCAGAGACTACCCCTCCCATGAAGAACAAACCCTGGGGCATGCTGTTTGCGAAGCCCTACTTTCTAGTTGTTGCAACCGAGTGTGCTTCTGTAACCCTTTTTTTTCCCCCCTATTTCCCGGTGGGGGAGAGAGAAAGGCAAAACACATGCCACCCAATCCTTTTTCGGGAAAAGCACAGAAGGAGCATACAGCCTGTGAAACTGACCAGTACAAAATCCACCAGGCATCTTACAGGAATGTGTGCAGTCAGCTCCCGAGGAGGACTGACGGCTCCCTCAACTCTGGGGCTGCATCTGCTGAGCGCTAAAAGGAACTGGACTCGTTCAGCGCCGGGAAAGGTGTCTTCCAATGGCTGCAAGGTGCGGCGGTCCCGCACCCGAACTTACGTAAGTTTGCAGCCCAAAAAAAGGAAAGAAAAGGAAACTTTCACAACGGACACGGAGCTGGTCGCTACCGCTGCGGACGGCCAGGAAGGAAGGAAAAGTGAAAGGGGAGAACGGAGACGCTGTGAAGTGTCCCCCACATAAGGCCGGCATGAGGGGAAGGAGGGCCGGACCCGGAGGCTGGACCCCCGAGGAGCCGATGCCGAGGGCTGCGCGCCGGGCGGCGACACAACGACCTCGGGCACCCGCGCCGAGTGCCGCACAGTCCCCGGACCCCGAGGCGGGGAGGACCGCTGACAACTGGAGCGCAGCCCAGGTCGCGGCTTCTCTCGGGCACAGGTCCTCGGCCCCCGCGCCCGGCGCCGGGCTGACCGGGGCTGACCCGGCCACCCGGGTGACCGGGACGCCGCGGTCAGCGGAGGGGGCGGCGCGCGGCCCCAGGAGCCAGTCCCTCGGGGCGCGTCGGCCAGGGGTCCCGCCGGGCTCCCGCCCCCGCGCCCGGGGGCTGACAGCGAGCGCCGTGCACCCGCCGCGGGGAGGGGGCCGGCGCCCGGGGCGACCTCGGCCCCGCTCCGCCCCGAGCCTGCCTCGGTCTCCCGCTCCTTTACCTTGCTCGCCGGCGGGAGCGGGCGAGGAGGCTCCGCGGCGGCTCGCGGGCGGCTGCTCGCTCCGGGCGAGCTCGGGGCCCGACGAAGGCAGCCCGCGCCCGCGCCCGCCGGCCCCGGGCCCGCAGCCCCCTAGTCACTAAGGCCGGCCCGCGGCCGGACACTGGCTGAGCGCAGCAGGAGCGGGCCCGGCTGCGCGTCGCCGGCGTCAACGTGCCCGACGTCGGGCGCGTCGGCGTAGCGTCAGCGCCGAGCGCCGCCAACCGGCCCCGCCCCCCTGGGAGGAGGGCCGCGGAGGCCGAGTGCGCAAGCGCCGCCCTCTCAGGTGGGCGGGCCGGGCCTCTCGGGCGACGATTGGCTAGGTGCGAGAGGAGCCACGCCCACTCCCGCGCCCCCGGCCCCGCCCCCGGCCCCGCCCCGCCCAGGTGGGGGTCGTCTCGGTGTTGCCGCAGCTTCCCGAAGGCATCTGACCCCGGATCTCCCCTTCCAGCCGCCGGGCAAGCCAAAGGCCGTTATCGAACGTCTACTGTGCATCAGGTTCTGAGCCAGACCCTTACCAGACGCACGTCCGCACACCTTACAGGAGGGCGCGCCCAGGTGCGGGTCACCTACGGGTCACCTGCGGGTCACCTGCGGGCTGCCTCCTCGGGGACCGGAGCTTCCTCGGGACCAAACCTTACAGGACTCCGAAGGACGCGGTTCTGCGCGGGGCCCGCTCACCGAGGCTTACCTGCCGTACCTGCGGAGGCCCAGGTGGGCAGCGTTTGCTGTGGAGGCCCGTGGGCGCTGTGTGGGGAGAGCAGGCTTGGGAACCAGGAACGGCTGGTTCGACTCCCAGCACATGCTTGTCGCCGAGTGTGGGGCTGGGCAACTCGGGGAGCCCGCGGGCCCCTGTGCCCCATCTGCAGGATGCGGAAGTGACAAAGACCTACCCCGGGGATGTTATAACGGGAGGGATCCTACCGTGGTTAGGGTCTTCGTCCTTATTCATACTTATATTTTGCACTTAACTTTTAAAAACGCCTGTTCTGGGCCAAGTTCCGGGCTGGCTCTTGCAGACCAGAGATGATAAACACGCCTTTAATAAATTAAAGCAGATGCTGGCCCCTCACGGTTTCACACCTGCAGCACAAACTCTCCACAGGCCAAAGGGCCAGGGCCTTGCTGCCAGGGCCACTGGCTCCTGTGTTGGTGGTGAGGGAGCCAGGAGTCCCCGAAGTCACCCAAGCCTAAGTGAAGGTCGTGTGGGGAGTGGGTGGATTCCTGATTCCCACTGAGAGCTCCCCAGCAACAGGCGCTGGTCTAACTGGCTTTCTCTCCTAGGGCCCAGGACCTCTTTCATTCATGGGTCAGTTCATCCAATAAATAATGATGCACAAAAGTAAGAATTTGTGCCCCTGGCCCAGGGACTGGAACAGAGGAAAATTTCCAACTCTCCTCAAGTGTACCAGCTTAATCCAACCAGCCCAGATTCACACCACACCCATAAAGTATTTGTCTCCTAAGAAATCAGCCCAGTGCCAACATTTAGTTCAACGGTGTGGAATGTTCATTCATTTCATGAACATGTGTAGAGAGCATTATGAGCCAGGCATGGCCTAGGTTTCGGGAACACAGAGCTGTCTAAGATATCCCTTGGCCCAGTTCACAGCCTGGAGGGGAGAGGAGAAAGACTATTACAATGTCAAGTTAACAAGTGTGTAGCTTAGCGCTGTGGGACCACAGAGGACATAACATCTCAGCTGGATCTCGAAGGATGAGCAGTTCCCCAAGCAGAGAAGGGAGAAGCCCGTTTGGTACAACTCCAGGAAAATGAAATCCCAGATTTCACTCATTTTCCTTCATTCATTCCATTCCCTCCCAGACTGCAAAAATCCTTAAGAGGAAGATTGTAAACCGAAATGGCCTGAAGAAAAGATTGATTAAATCTTTGCACTTTCAAATGACAGAAAGCCTGGTGGCATTCACTCTGTCGTGTTTTCAGTAACTAGCTCATAACCGGCATAATTCCACATCTCAATGGTGGCAGCAGTCATGGAACCGTGTACTTTTGTCAGAACTCACAGAACTGTCCATTAGTATGGGAAGTATGCTCTCATATTTAAAATGGAGGAAAAAAACTTTTTAAATAAAAGCAAGTTACAAACTGTGAGTCCAAGTTCAAAGAAGAAAACGTCTGTCTTTAGATGAAGAACATATCATGTAAAATTTCTTACCTTGTATCTGAAAAACTCTAGAACGTTATTAACCAAAGTGATAAAACTTTACAAAAACGAGTTTTACATGAAATAAAATATTTCTGAAAAGCAAAAGTAAATTTTAAGTCTCAGAGTTACAAGAGACAAACATCTATGTTTCTATTTGACCGTAGTCAATCAGTCCTCCACATTTCTATGTGTACACGTACGCTTATATATTCCCGGAAAGAGATCTGTCAGAATGTGGGCAGTGGTCTTTGCGGGGAACTGTGGGCATTTCTCATTTCCTTCTTTGTGCTAGTTTGTGCTTTCCAGATGCTTCATCATAAATGTGCATTAGTTCTATCATTAGGCAAGACCTCCCCCTGCCGCGAAATGTTCTTTTAGTAAAACCTAGCCAAGCATGAATCATGAAAACTGGCTTTTGGGAAGCAAAAATGCCTTTTCTATGTATCCGTCTATACCACCCAACTAAACTCTTTCCCCAAAGTAACTATCCAAAAATACTTTGGAGAATGGGTGGTATCCTTGTAAGGTTCAATCAGGAAAACAATGAGCAAGGGAAATATTTTGCACATTATTTCTAACACTCCTGTTGAAGGTTTGATAAAGAAAACCTGGGCACCTGGGTGGCTCAGTTGGTTAAGCGACTGCCTTTGGCTTGGGTCATAGGTCCTGGGTCCTGGGATCGAGTCCTGTGTCGGACTCCCTCCGCCCTGTGGGAAGCCTGATTCTCCCTCTCCCTCTGCCTGCCACTCCCCTTGCTTGTGCTCTCTCTCTCTCTCAAATAAATAAAATCTAAAAAAAAAAAAAAAAAAGAAGAAGAAGAAAGAAAAAGAAAAAGAAAACCCAGTAACACGGGAGGGGAGGGGATAGATAGTTCAGTATTACGCCCACAGTTGTGTTTTTTACAAACGTGCCCACCAGCTCAGCTCTCTGGATGATGTAGTTGTCAGCCTTGAACCTGACCTGGGCCACCTCTCCTCTCTAGAGACTTAAGCAGCTCAGAAGTGTTACTGTAAGATCAGAGTGTATAGCCTAGCCTGTGTCCTAGAGGTCTGGGTGTGTTCCAAATCTATCTGAAGTATGGAAAAGGGGCGCCTGGGTGGCTCAGTGGGTTAAGCCTCTGCTTTTGGCTTGGGTCATGATCTCAGGGTCCTGGGATCGAGCCCCACATCAGGATCTTTGCTCAGCAGGGAGCCCGCTTCCCCCTCTCTCTGTCTGCCTCTCTGCCTACTTGTGATCTCTCTCTGTCAAATAAATAAATAAAATCTTAAAAAGATAAATAAAGTATGGAAAAGAACCTAACGACAGGCAGGGGGTGGGGGGGTGGGTGACGATACAATTCGGTGAAGTGTCAAGCTGGGGGGAGGTGTTCGATGTGGCCCTCTGTTCTAGAGGAGGAAACTGCTGTCCTGTTTCCTTTTGAATCCCAGAAAGGATTCGCCCTCGGGCACCTGCTTAGTTCACAGCAGACCTGGAACCAGAGCCGCAAGTGAACAGGGGACTTTGGATTCCTGGTCCAGCCGCTATGCTATTGTGACCAAGGAGTGGTCTCTTTAAGGGACCCCCGAAGAGCTTTCTATCAGTGGGTCTCCAGTGCTGCCCAAGTAGTCCAGTCCCCTGCAGAAGAGGTGGGGGGCCTGGGCTTGGTGACTTCAGCTGCTAGTGTCAGCCCTGCTTGGGTTTCCTGTGTGTCCCCGCTGAGGTGGGAGGCAGTAAAGGAGGAGAGAGGGAGAGAAAGAGAACACTCGTACTTGCTTTTTTTCTGCCATTCTCGAAGTAATTCACAATCTGTCCTGTATCTTTCCTACTCCACGGAGGAGGAAACAATAATCCAAGTGGCCAGCAAGCTGGGGAGATCACCAGCCACAGTGTTCTAGTTGCCGCGGAAGTTCTACTGCCCATTGTTAACCGGGCCTGGAATTCTGATCTCACGTGGGCCAGTTGGGAGGTTGGTTGAGTGTGTGTCCATCCCCGAGGCCACAGACGGAAACATCACATTTGCAAAACATTTATGGAGATCCCTTCCCCCATATAACCTCACTCAACCCTCCCGGGTGTACAATGAGGACACTGAGACCCCACAGATGAACTCACCCGCCCAGTTGATGATTCCGTGGAAGTTGGGCTTGCACTGAAGCCTGGCTCCAAAGACAGTTTTCTTGATGGTTTTGAAAGCATCCAAAGACATCCCTAGGCCCCCAAAGCTGGGGACAAACCCCCTGGACCAGTGCTGGACCACAAAGATACTGACCCCGATGCTCACCAAGGGTCTGTGGGCCTCTCGGCCATCTGGTCCCAGCACAGTGCCAGGCACAGGGAGTCCCCAGCTCCTGGAGCAGCCCAGGCTTCCCACATGGGCATGAAGACTTCGGTCCCTTTCTTCTATATAATTATATTTTAAAAGCAAGTCATAAACTGCTTGCAATTTGTGTGTTGACAACTTCATTGTGTTCATCACATTCTTAACAATGCCCAGCTATGGTAGGGAGAAGGGCCCAGAGAGGTAGTTCAAGCTCTCCCAAGGCTAGGCTGGAGCCCCGGCCCTTACCTTTACCTTGACCTCGGGCAAGGTATGCTGCAACCTGCACTAAAGCCTCATTATTGTCACCTATCAGGGATATTAACAGCCACATGAAACACCACGATGGGACTTTGGGAGACTCAAGGCTGGAAATAAGAGGTGACCGAGGGCCCTGGGCCCCCATCAGGGGTGACCTCCCTGGCTGGTTACCTTTTCCCTCTGTGAGTGGTGCTTTCAGACCATCATCATAGACTCTGGAGCCAGGAGCTCTGGTTCCAACCTTGGCTCTGCTTCTTTTGGCCATGGCTGTGTACTCGTAGGCAAGTTGCTTGACC